GAGAGAGGGTAAGAGAGGAGAGACAAAAAAAAGTAATACTAAAACATATTCTAATTCAATAATATTTCTAGCACTGTTGTGATCAAAAACATCGTTACAGCAACCTAAAGTTCTACAACAATTTTGAATTATTATTTATTTTAATAAACATTTGACATTAAATACGTGTTTATTTTTCCCTTAATTAGTACCTTAAATAGAAATCCTGTGAATATATCATATTAATGTCTACAAAAAATTATAATTTATAGTGCATTATTAAGATACATACGCATGCTTACGTATGTAACATTTAGTCAAAAGTCAAATAGTGTTGTTACAAAGCCAGTACTTAAAAAATAATTGTGCGTGCTGACTGCAAATAAATCAAATGTCATTTTTTTTTAGAAACTTACCTCTGTGTACTAAAATATTGTGCTATTAGAATATAATTTAAACTTCTAAATAACATTTATAATAACTGTAACGGATCTATGGATTTTAGTAGAATGTTATTGATTACTGCGATCTTATTCTTCCGAGAAGTCCTAACAGACTAGCATCATCGATATATATTATTATATCGATATATATTAATATATTATTGGTGATGCTAGTCTGTTAGGACTATAGGCATTAAAATAGTAAATACAAATTTTCTATAATGTAAATATAGTTGACGTGCTATATTAATTTATGAAATATTAGTCAATTTACTTTGCGAGAAAATACTTATTATAATGTGGGTGGATACATTTGATCAATTTATCCGAATGTGTGATTTATTTTGCTATCGAATTGTTAACGTATTTCTAATACATACAGTGACATTTTAGGAAAGTTTTTAACTATTTGAATCATTTAAGAAGTACTTACGTGTAAGTTTAAGGTTACCTATGTTTATAATACGTGTGTATGCTTTGTATGTAAATAAATTTATATCCTATGTTATAAACATTGGTAAGATGTTCTCCAGAATTTTCAATAATCTCTTATACTTTTCTTATGAATATTTTTACATACTTTTAATATTGTGACATTTTTAAGACTATTAAGAGATGGTTGCAGAGAGAGAGAGGGGGAGAGAAAGAGAGAAAAAATAAGATGTAGTCATATAAATAGTGCAGGCGTATAATAGTAGTTTATTATAAATTAAGAGTTTATTATTAATTAAATATTACTATTTAAATTCTAAAAATTATAAGATTAATAATATAATTGGTATGAAATACAATGTAGTTACATAGTTGTGTTACAAGATGTGTTACATATTGTAATATGTTACTAACACTTTTATTATATTATAGGTTATAATAAAAATATTAATAATATATTATGATAGGTAACATAATGCAAATAAATTAAAAATACAAAAGATATAATATACAGATAATAATAATTTTCGCGATCATGTCAATTGAAAACGTCAAACTGGATACGTTCCATATTAACACGAGAAATTTATTCTAAGGGTACTCATAATAAAATAATGTTTATTAGTTCATTAATAATTAAGATATATTTATTAATTAGTTTGCGCTACAAACGAATAATAATGATTATATAATATGCTAAATAATATAGGTAAGATAACATTATAATAGCCAAAATAATCAGTAATGTACAAATAAAACAAGACTAAACATGCAGAAAATAGAAACGTAAGTAAAAATTTAATGAAAACAATATTATAACATTTGATTAAAGACTAAATATAATCAAATTGATATAATAAAATATTCAAAATTAACACTACATATTCAGTAGCAGTAGCATCAGCTTACGTTATTTTTCCGATTCACTGGTTCGAGCTCTAATATAAAAGAAAACTTATATACATTAAGCAGTTATTTAAATTATGTTAATGAATGTTCATAAATCGAAAATGTCCTGTATGAGCGACAATCTTCTTTCTATCTTACTTACAATTTTTGAAATTTGTGATTCGTTTAAGTAGCTAATTTCTTTTATATAATCTTGAACCTAATATAAGAAATATTTTATAAATTAATTACATTTGTTGAATAATTTGTTACTGTTTCATACAAACAGAAATGCATGCAATAAATTATTATTTTCCATAAATTGAAAAAATAAAGCCCAAGCAATCAGAGATATATATACCATTTCATACATCATGCAGTTATTAATGTAAGTTTTCAAAGCGGTTACACTAATAAAAAATTAACTTTATTTTCAGTTCAGTTTGCTCTTTTTGTAATTCTAAGAATTAAATAAAGATAAATAGTAAAAAACCATAATTAAAATTATTATATTCTCAAACATTGATGAAGCCTGGCTAAAAGAAAACTAATAAATATAGAGAATATGAATTGAATTTATTTACCTTCATAATATTTTTGTAAGAATATACATGGTTAATGATATCAACTAGTCCTGTTAATATGTTGATTTGTCTACATAAAATCAATTCGTACAAATTTATATTTTATTATATTATATATTATTATTAAATACAGTGTCCATTTATAAAAAAATGTACTTACTTAGGTATTATCGCTTCCAAATATGTAAATATCTTTTCGAGTACGACATATGTGTTAGAATGTTTCATAATAATTGAATGAAAAATGTTTATATGTAATCGAATAATATCTTTTCTTTCATCTTCTGTGAATAGCATCAAAAATGATAAAGAAGTAAATGTACCATATTCAGAACAAGTTAGGAACGATAACAATATACGGTCATATTTTTTTAAGAAGACTGTTACGTCTAACCATATAGAAAAATTAATTATTCGTAAACCATTGCAATATGTCCAGTGCTTCCACCAAGATAAAAGGCTGCAGATTCAAAAAAAAGAAAAACACATATAAACATATTATTTATTACATGTGTCAATGGAAAATTTATCATAATTTGGAATGCAAAACGAAATTGCACTTATAGAAAAAATATTACGGCCTGCTTTCATGATTCTCGAGATGATGCTCTAATTTGCGAAGAGCTGATCGTTCGCACTCATCGTATTGGAGGGTACAGACCCATTTCGCAATTTCTTGTCTTAAACATTTAGTAAAGTCATTTTCCATCAGCTGTTCTTCATATCCTAGTGTTTTCAATGGCTTTTCCAACAATTTTCTAAATTTTTCCTAAATGACGTAAATTTTCTATTTTTATTGATCGTAATGAAGCACGGTATTATAGATAGCACTGATAATTAATTGTAATGAATTCAAAAGGGATTCTTTCTACATTC